ATAATATATTTTAGAGAAAAATATGACAATTTATTTGGGCGTTTATAATTAATTTTCATACCCTCTACTACCGCGCCCCTTAGCTGACTTGCGCTTGTACCTCCAATTGCTCAGTTGCTCCGGCACTCTGCGATGTCTTCTTTATTAGCGTAGTATTTTACCACAACTTTTTTTCCACAAATGTACGCGAGAAACCCATCCCCTCCCCCAGACCTGCCTGATGAATTGAAATATGCAGATAATATTGGAGATACCAGCTATAGCAGGCAATGGCTTCTCTCATTGATGGTGAAAATTGTGGACAAAATTAAGGAAAATAATAAGCCCTTATCGGACGATTTAATCGAAGATTTAGATTCAGATTTTGAGGAGCAGCTTTGTCTCCTTTGGGATATGACAGTCAGCAAAGACATCCTCAAGTGTCTTACAGATTTCGATCTGATTGCTGTCCTTTATGGTGCAACCTCATGTTTTTGCCACCCTCGGTTGATTGTATGGTGAAGTTTTTTATATTTTAAGGAAATATCTCTTGGCATCCTTGCAAATCTTGCTAATGAGCCCCACGCGTGTCATAAGATGGCTGAGATAGAAGACTTCGTGTAATTGATTAATATTGTTATGCATAGTCCTCATATATTTACGCTCTTTCGCTCCCACGATGCGCGCATATTGACTGAAGCTTGTCGGTAAATAAATTAAATTGTTAATTAAGCAGCCTTCTTCAAACCGTAATTATTTCTGAAGAGTACAACAAACCTTGGCTGGATGCAATTCGTTTTGAATCAGATTTTTTTGAGAACCTTATGTTCATACTTCGTAGCTCTACCAATAGTATGTTAGTTTGATTTCTTAATCTATAGCTGGACTACTTATGAACACGATTCGCCTAATTGAGGCTGTTTGCAGAGATGAGGATAGTTTGGCCGAAGCTTGGTGCAGTCCTCGTCTTATTTCATGTATATTGGAAGCTCAAAAGCAAATACAGTAAGTTTAGATGCTCTTCTTATCTGTCATTTTTAGATGGATGCATGGCAGTGAAGTTGAAATTATACATCGATTGCTCTACATATTTTCCACAAACCAAAATGGTGTGATCAGCCTAGGTTACCATGTCTTGATTTTGTAAAGTATCTTCTTACAGTTAATAAGTCTTCTTTGGTAATTCCTATGCTGGCAATTTATCTGCGCAAACTATGTGAAGATGAGGCGTCGTGTATCTCCTTCGGAAGGCACCACAATAGCCTTCGCGCGATTATTCCAGTCATTGATGTTATCGTAGCCAGTATTTCTCCTTCAAAAGCCCTTGCTGAAACCTCCTCTCGTATGCGATTTACTGGTTTTTCTTATTATTAATCGACTCATAAATTGCATTGGGACTTAGCATCACCCTTCTGTTTCAGCTGAAATATACGACCTCATTCCATGCCTGTTACACATAGCTTTTGGATGCTATTATAA